GGGGACTGGGGGGTTGGGCAGGCATGGGGGATCTCGTGTTTGGGATCGGGAACGCGCGGGGGAGATTGAGATCGGGGGGGAGTCGTAGTCAGGGGGGGGATCGCGACGGCGGGAGAAGAACGGTGCACGGGGGAGTGAGGTGGGGCAGTAGGGATCGGAGGAGGAAGGTGGAAGCGGTGTCGGGATCGGGGAAAGGGGGAGGTCCTGATTCGGTTTGGGGTGGGGGCGCGGAGAGTCGGGGTTGCGCGCGGGAATAGCGCGGGGGGAAGTCAGGTGTCAGGTGGGAAAATGCGGTGGGGGAGGGGGAAACGGCGCGTGGGGGAGGAAGATCGAAAGTCGGGGAGGGGAGGTTGCATGGGAGCGGGATCAGAGTCGCGATGAAGAAGAAGAAGAAGGAGAAGAGGAAGAAGATAATGAAAAGAAGAAGAAGAAGAAAATAGTAAAAAATAAATAAAAATAATAATATAAAAAGGAAAATTGTCATCGATTACTTATCTGCGCGGAGGTAGCAACTACGATGACGAGGATGGCACGGCGCGGCAACGAGGACGACGGGCACGGTGATGGAAACGTGGCACGACAATGACGATCGCGACGGTGGCGATGATGACGTGGCACGACGACAACGATCGCGACAATGATGATGTCGTGGCACGGCCACGACCAACACGACGATGATGCTGATGACGTGGCACGATGGCGATGGTCTCAATGATGACGATGATGACATGGCGACGACGATCTCGACGATGACGATGATGACGTGGCACGCGACGAAGGCGATGATGAAGCCAGGTGGGTCGGGCGGGTTCGAACCGCTCCGGTACCAGTGTGACGGGGCTGAGGCAACGCGGCAGGGAGAGAGAGGGAGAGAGTGAGAGCACACACAGCACACACACACACACTCACTCAACTCGCCACAGACTCGACACGACTCGACGGACGCAGACACAAAGTGGCAAAGTCGCAAAGTCGAAGTCTTGGATTTTCGAACACCATGTCGAAGCAAGTCACACCGAAGGACAAGTACAGCAGCAGAAAACTGGTACGAGAATGGTCCCCGTACCGTGCGCGGAGCCAGTATAAGTACCGGTGACACGTACGGTACCAGGGGCATTTCTGCAAAGGCCCCGAGGGCAGAACTGAAAAATGCGGTATTTGAAAGTGGCGCCCGAATTGCAGCATGGCGCCAGTTGTCCAAAATCCTACGGTACCAAAAGAGGGGTTTGGAAAAAGGGTGCCGGGCCGAAAACGGGATGCAGCCGAAACAGCAAAAAGATAGACCAGGGATCGAGCCCTGGCGGAGTCCGTAACAATCACCATCACCATCCTCCGCTGAGCAAGCCCGGCTATGGATGCTCAGCGCCCGCTGCACCAGCAGCGCCCAACACCACAATGCACCCGTGCTGTGCGCCTCTTCCTGCCCTTGTGCAATGACTTGCTGGTTTCTGTTCATCTGTAGCCTCTCTCTTGTCGAGGCTGTACTATCTGTAGGTTAGATTCGTTATTTTGTTTGGCTGAGGGCTAACCGAGAGACCTGCCTGTAAGGAAAATCCGTGAGGGACATATCTGTAAATTCGGGAAAATACAGGCCCGTACTAACTGAATTTCCTACAGCTACCCTAACTGTGAATAGCAGACCCGGGCTACCCCTAGGATAGACGGTCCTATAGCCTGTAGCCGGGTTGGGAGAGGCCCTATAGGCCGAAACAGAAATGGTATCGGTTGGTCAGTCAGTCCGGTCTCGGTCGATTCTAGTTAGAGTAGACTATAGATAGGTTAGGCACATCGGTTCAGGGCTTTTGGAAGTTGGTACCGAGTACATCACGGCTGTGCCACGCGTGAACCAGAAGTGGTGACGGCTCAGAGTGGAGGGAGACAGACATAGCCAGACCTTCGGAGCGCCGGCCCTAGCTGGGACCTGCGCTGTACTCTGTCAGCACACGGGGCTGTACAGAGGTCTGGGCTACTCGAGGTCTGCTGGAGGTGAGAGAAGGTGGTGCCCAGCTGGACCCTCCTCCGGAGTAGGATTACAGGGTTGTGGCACTGCAGCCATAGCTGCAGCTCCTTCCTCAGAGGTCATCTTGTCAGGAGTGGTGGCGCTCCTGCAGACTTCCACCCGGGAAGTCTTCCGACACTTCGTCATCATCAGATACTGTGGCGTTGATCTTCTTCTTCATCCTCTGAGTGGCGCTTGGCCTCAGAGGCCTGTTTCAGGGTGGCGCTTCCCTCTGGAGGCTGTACATGGGTGGCGCTTGATGTTTCAGGGACTTAGGGGTGGTGATTGCGGTTCATCAGGGTTGGGGAGTGAAGCGAAATGAGCAGCGCACCATAGTATTGGGGTTATTCTGACAATTCGAGACTCCAAGTTTAATAAATAGTTGTGATACTGTGTCCAGACTATCATCGTTTCATTGTTTATTGGATGTGATCTACTCGGCTTTCCTTTACGACTGGTTGTGAGGATTGAGTGCAGTGAATTGCACGTTCAGTGTACCCTGTCATATCGCATCGTTAAGTCTTCCACTGTGTTTATCTCTCTCTGTGCGGTGCGACACTCCTCTCCTCTCCCCTTCCTTCTGTGTATGTATGGGCATACCTGGGAGTCTATGTGAGTGAGTGTCGGTCTTCAGACAACAGACAGCCAGAATCATAACACTTGACCTACCAGTGACCTCCAGTGCTCAAACCAGCAGCGCTGCCGCCAGCAAGCACACGACCAGAATCCTCCTTGGCTGCCATGCTCACTTTCCTTTATGGAAAGTGAGCTCTGCTTTGTCGAGCTCTGGGCCTGGCTGGAGGAGTTTCTAGTAGCTTCCAGTCGGGCGCTAGTGTCTGTGCCCAGGCCCTCAGTTGCTGTTACGGGCCTGCGCCCTTTATGGTTGGGCACGCCCAGGTAGCCCATAAGGCTACAAGTGTTCGCCGCGATCTCATTGGCTGCTGGCCAGTGTGTGACGAAGATCCTGCATTGTCATTGGCCTGCGGCCGTTCTGTGATTTGTCGGCCTCTGGTAGCTCACGCCCAGGGCCTCAACTGTACGTGCCCAGGGCTCAACTGCCTCTCGAGCTGCTGCTTCCGGAAGAAATAAGGGAAAGGCTCACAGTACCCTGCAACCAACTGGCGTGCTGCAACTGTCTGATACCCCACATGCAGAATTAACAAAAATAGGCCGCTCGTAAATATTCTGGCCCGCCATCACTTAGGGGGGGCACAAGCCTGTACTGGGCCTCAACCGAGATGTGGGGTGAGCCCTAGACAGGCCACTGTTCAGATTCAGGCCCGCATATAGATTCCAACAGCCCTTTAGTGTGATTACACTGGCCTGTACCCAGGCCTTGGCACGTATCAGCAGGCCTGCCTTCACTTAAGGCGGGCAAGACCTTTTCCAACACTGAGAAGGGCTCAAAACCTCGCACTCGAACGGACGGTTGCTAATTTTCCCACTATCGTGTGTGTTGCACGCTTCAAATTTTGAATTAATTTCAACCTTGCTTTACAGATGGATTTGGAAGCAAAGACAGAAAGATACAGTATATAACTAAGGCGGAGCTACGAGGGCAATCTTAAAACTTCTTCCTAGTCAGGAACCGTGGCTATTGCGGTCGTATAGACTGCCTCTGGCAACTCCGATGGAACTCCTTTGTCTGAATATCAGTTTTGCGGCATCGGGAAATCTCTTTGAATGTGTCTAGAAACCCATTCCCATTCATACCAAAGCACTAGGTGGGGGTGGCCCCGGGACGAATGACCCACACCCAGAGCTTGAGCGTGGGCGGGCCGAGCCAAGTGGGACCCGCAGCGGGGTCGACAAAGGCTCGAAAGTCTACCGGGGTTTGGCCCGACAACGGCTGTCTGGATTTTAACAACCCCCGGTAGCAGTGACCTCCGCGGGCGTAGCACTCAGCAGCAATATAGAGTACCAACAAAATGTGCAACACGGAGCATGGCACCAGAACAGGAACAGCAACTTGACGAACGTAGTATAATCAGCATCACAGGTCCTAACAGCTACAGCACCAGTCTTGGCCGTAGCACCGGTCTTAGTAAAAAGAGTCAACTGGCAACAGCGACTGGCTGCAGCTGACCGTTCGCTCTTCAAGCCAAAGTCCTCCCAACCATACCCAGTCCCGCTGCAACAAAAGATCTGCTGCTACACGCGGAGACTAAAATGTTTGCTGCAACACCTTGATATCAATTGTAATAAATCGAATACCAATGGCCTGCAGACCAATCTCAGCAGCAGCAAGCGATGCCCAACAGCCCGTAACTGCAACTCGAACTCCAAAACCAGCAGCAACCCCTTTGCTGAAGAAAAGCAGTTTTCCTTGAGGTGAGGCAGCTGCCCACTTTGTCACCAAGAGGTATGAGTTCCCTCTGATCCTGTCGCTCTCCTTCCACTCCTTCTCTTTTCTAATTGCCTCCTTTTTCCTCCCTGAACTTCAATCTGCTGCCGCTTCCTTGCTCAGGCGTTTCTCTACCATTCACATTCTTCTGTTTTCACTCATTGCACTCCTTCTGCCAAGAAATAAGAATACACCTCCCGCTACAATCCGGGGAGATGCAGTAATTTTATTTTATTTTTATTATTATGATTTTGTCTCGTTTGCTGCGTACTCAGCGAAAGTCCGTACGTAGCTCCACCCGTCTTCGTGGCCATAAGCGCGTCCCGACTAGGTAAGTGTCAGAACCTCCTCCATCTCTCTCCACTTCTCCTTCCCTTACTCTCGCTTCACTATCTCCACACACCTGGCTGGAGGCGTAGGCCAAGTTCATTCTGCTTGTGTCATCAGTAACGTGAAAAGAACGTGCGCGACTCGTGAAAATGGCCGTGGCCTTCAAAAGTGCTGATGACCACCAACAGGGCGAAGATCGTGAACATGCAAAGGCCACGAGTTGATGGCCTCAATGGAGAACAGAGCACGACGAGTCCACGACCAAGATGAGGGGCAGCGCCGGGGTCGAGGTGACCAAAGCAATTACGACCTTGAAGATGAACACGACCATCGGGCAGCGGATCACCAACGGGGAGGATGACGACAACGAGTGCGCTCAGAGACTGGCGATCGGGAGCGACTACAGGCCACCCAGCACTACTCTCCAAATCTGCCAAATGAGAACGGATCTTCCGCTAGAACAGGGGAGGATACATCGTCATATTCTAAATCCTCCCGAAGTAGTCGCGCAACCCCCGATCCCTATAGCGCCGAAATCGTGGCCTTAATGCAGAATCTGTCGCTGCCATTCTATCCACAGCATGCCAGAACCCCCAGTTTGCATCTTCACTCGCTCGTTTTCATTGAGAAACGGGCGAGTTACGCTGTTTTTCCCATTTGTCCTCTTTCTCTTCTCTTCTCTCGACTTGTCCGCACAACACCTTTTCCTCCTATCTCATTTTCTACTAACTTCCTACTAGATATGACCTCATACCTGATGTCGCCTACCCCCAAAACCCCAGTTTAACACTTTCCCCCGCTTGATTCTGATAGAAATTGAGTAAGTTATGATTTCCTCCTTCCTCCCTACTCATTCTTTTCTCCGCCTCTCTTTCTTCAGGTACCTGGACCTGGTCCCGGCCAGGTCCATGTATCTTCCTTCAGCCGTTCTGCTTCTCTTCTCCCTCTCTCTAGACCGCTATCTTACTACTTACTTCCCTTCTAGTCTTCTCCTCTCTTCTCCCTCTCTCTACCCCGCTATCTTACTACTTACTTCCCTTCTAGTCTTCTCCTCTCTTCTCCCTCTCTCTACCCTGCTATCTTACTACTTACTTCCCTTCTAGTCTTCTCCTCTCTTCTCCC